TACCGCTTTAAAAGAATGACGTAAGTGTGTATCTGGGTACAACGGATCGGGAGCAGAGGTGGGAAAGACTGGTACGACCAGTTGTTATTTTGGAACTTATTTAGACTTTAAAATACTACCTATGATCATCTCAAACGAGGCGTTTCATATAATTGAGATTGAACTTCAATTCAGATAAGGTCGTTTGATCTTCCAATTTTATTTATTTATATTGGAAGAACTTCTTCCAAAAGCTTCCAAAATTGTATATATAGGTTTAATGAATAATTTGTTTAAAGTGTCAAAAGATTAAACATTAGTTTTTTTATGAAATGTTTCTTAAGATCCTCGAATTTTGTAGCAACGTGGCAACTTCTATTTGATGAGTTTATAACGTGCTTTGAAAATTTCATTTACTATACCATGTTTCTACGCACCCATCAATGAGCGCCATGCACGCAGCGTTGCCGTTCGGGTGAAAATTTTGACTGTTGGCAATTTTGAGTAGATTTTTCTTAATTTATTTTTCACCGTTATTGACTCCTACAATCAAGTGTGGCTGACATTTTTGCGAAGGAATATTATTATTTACAACCTATTCCTATTTTAATATTTTACTTTACCTATTTACTAGGTTATTTAGTGATGGCGGCAAATTTAAAATAATTAATATGTTATTATTATGGCCAATTGACCATTATTAGGTATATTTATTTTCATTTTTATTGACTAGACGATGACCAGATCGTTTTTCCAGATTGGTTATATCAATTTTTTTTGTGAACCTACATGAATTTAACTGGTATCCAATTTTTAAAAACGAGATTGGAGGAAGCCAAAATTTTGGATTTCGTGATGGGACATTGTAGGGTTTTGATTCGGCAACATTCTGCGTGAGTTTTGATTAGAATTACGTAATTGTCAGTTTCAATGAAAATATTTGTTACTGTTCGGCATGGTATAGTCAATAAATTATTATTGTTTTTGTGGTGTGACAAAAAAAACTTGTTTATAGTGAGCCGATACATACAATTAAAGAGTTAAAGTAACAGGCCCTATTTTGAACAATTATTGTAGTATCTATACATTTTTCGGTCCTAAAGGTGCATTATATTTTATTTTTATTGAAAATGTGCGCCGTTTTCATGTATTTGACCTTTATTATCTGTTTTACAATCTTGAGCAAGTATGGTTCATTAAAAATATTTTTTTAATAAATTGGTGATGATTCGGTTACAACGCTTACATATACTACAACCTACAATCTACTACAATGCTATGCGAGGTTGGTTAAATGATGTATTGACTAATTTTGTTGGTATAATGACAATTTCACTTGCACTCAATGGAAATTTTATTAATAATATTTCTACCAGGTGTTAAACTTTTATAACCAAGCTGAATTTAAAAAAGCATATAAATATTTTATTCTTTGTCAACATTGAAAAGCAACAAATAAATTGACGACCAGGATGACATTTTTCAGCTTATTAACATGCATTATGGTATAGTATAAACTAACAAGTGATGTTTATAAAGTAGGCCATGACTGACAAAGACTAAGATACGAGTCACTTAAATCCAAACTGTCATTTAAAAAAGAAGAATTGTAGGCTTAGGCCCGTATTTATAAACAGTAGCAGGATTACGAAGGGCATACCCGTATCGTATAGGCCATTTTCAAACAATGTTGTCGATAAGGAATGAAATACGATACTTTTTTTTATATAAAAAAATATTGTCTCTATTGGGTATACGATAAAAAAAAATGCAATATTAAAAATTTTAATAAATAATAAAATTGTTATATAAAATATCTTTGAAACCTATCCCTGGCTAAATCCATTTCTTCTTACATTTTGATTTACCGGGAATATAATATTTCAAATATCTTCACCATCTACAACGTTTTGTTTCACATACATATTATGTAACGCTGCACAATTTTTTATTATTTTGCAGAAAAAGAAAGGTTTATAACGAGCTGTTCTTTCTTTTGCCAGGCACGTAAATCGCATCCTTAATAAACCAATACACCTTTCTATAGTATTTTTGGCTCTCATTTTCATTTTCAATCGGTGTCATGACAATTCTGGTTTGCGCATAGCCTTAAGCTCCAACTAACCAACCAAGTTCTATCACACTAATGCCCTGAATATATTTTTTTAATTATATATAATTAATTAAAATAACTAAATGGAATTAAACAAAAACTGCAATCATCTACAACTTGGCAACTACGCATTTCCTCACCATGAGATAATGGTTTTGTCACAGAGGATGTGTTTTGTTTACTCATACCCATCACAATTGTTATTATGACAACAGTTTTTGCATAACAGATTTCGGCTAAACGAAAGTTAAGCCGAAATAGCTATGTGGGTTCCATCAATTGCCCCTTGTGCCTGGAAACCCAAATTTTTCCATAAAATCATGTTTTAAGATATTTCTTTGGGCAACTGTTTCTGGAAAGCGTATTTTTTGGGTAACTACAATATTTTCCAGAGCCTCTGTAACCTCGTGAATGCAATTGTGAATTGCAGATTGGCTTAATCCACCATTATATTGCTCACCTACACATCTTTGATAGAAGCCAGTGGCATAGAAGCCTAATGCTACAAGAACTTTTTTGTTCACCGATGTCCCCGCATTTGTCTAAATATTTCTAATATTTATGCTTATGTCTTTAATGACTTCTCCAACCAATTCCTTATTAAATCTGTATAATTAAGTTAAGTACATTTACTACCCAACTCTAAATTCACGCGATTTAACCGAACTTTGATTTTCGTTCAAGGACAATGCGGGCCATAGATATTTCCATGGCCTACTTTAGAACCATTTTTGGTGGATCATTCCATACTAACTGACTAATAATTAAAAATATTAGTTAACTTATTTTCTTATTTTTTAGGAAAACGGCGTCACTTCTGTAGCCGCTGTGGAAAACAATACAAAAATCCGGAAAGTCTATCCAGACACAGAAGCGAATGTGGATACGACAAGAAATACCAATGTCCTCATTGTGGTCACAAAACGCATAGATTAGACAACTTAAAGAGACATATGTTGATCCATATGTACAAGGAGCAAGTTTTGAACGACATGAAGCATAATATTTTGTTTTGAAGGAATATTTGCGTTGGTAGCTCGACTATTTGATGACTCAAGGATTACCAAAAAACATCGTCTAGATCCGATAGGAGTTTAATAAAATTTGACCCAAAGACCTTTCGTTATTTTTGATTAAATAATACATTATGTGGCTACACGCTACATTGTATCACAAAGTGTGATCATACAAAAGTATACTACAATCAATGATCTATAACAATGAATCATAATTTAAGCTCTTTGATTTATCTCAAAATTGGTACCTTTCTTAAAATGAAACTTTTAATCTACTTAAAAGTTAACATAATGTTTCAAGTTATCATCATGTTTGATAAAATAACTCCATGTTTAATCTGTTATCTGACTGCAAAAAGCGGCATGTCGTGTTTTTGTTTGCTATTTGCAGTTCGTGAATAACATGTACTATGTCCCGGTGCTCGGAGCGGTCATGTGACCTGTGAAATTTAAATTTATGTTGCTTATCGATGCTGGTAATGATTTATATGCTTGTAGACGTCAATATCAATAACAAAGCCCTTTGTAAGCATTTTATGTCGTCCGGTTTTACTACTTCCGGTGTAGGAATTTCGGCCACATGAATGGATATTTACGGTTTTGAGCGAAGTTCGGAATATAACTTAAAAGCGGATTTTCTGGACCTAAAATGATATTGCAAGCATTTGTTTGTGTCGACTAAATGGTTAATATAAAAAATTGTAACTAAAAGTTGAATAGTGGTTTAATTGCTCTTAAAATGTTTGGATGTCTCTCAAGTAAGAGTATTACCCTTTTCGACTTTTTGTTCCAATTTTACATCTGATTCAAAGTAACAATTTTTTTGTCAGATCTACCCTTTCGCCAATCGAAAAATATGCTTGCAAATAGTTAAGAAAAACTGCGTTTAAGCTGTAATCCGAATTTCGTTGAAAAACGTAAATATTCGGTCACGTGGCCCAAGTTCCTACACCGAAAGTAGCAAAATCGGACCACCGAAAATATTAGCAATGTAATTTTTTTATTGTTATTGACGTCTACGAATACAAGCGTATATTTTATTGACAGAAGAAAAGGAAAAATCCATCGATAAGCAATTTTATTTTTAATTTCACACAAAAGACGACATGCCACTTTTTGCAGTTAGATAAAGAACTGTTTTCTCTCTATGGTTTGTCTATCATTTAAATCTTTTGTTTGTATAATTTTTTATTTATTTTTCTACAGAAAAATCGAATGTTTAAGCTGCTATTTTTACAAAAATACATTTTAGTCTAAAAATTGTAGTCAAACTTTTATAAATTTACAAATAATATTGTTAAAAATATATTTTTCTTTTGGTTTTTGTGATATAATATGAAATAAAAATAAACTAATTCAGAATTTGTGTTTGTTGTGATTACCCATAGATAAAAAATTAACTCTTATTTTCAATATATAGGGAGTAAGTAGTACAACTGCCGTAATTTTAAATAGGTTTAATCAAAATTTTTGCCATAATTTATTTAATATCTACAGTGAGGGTTAAAAACTTTTGCACGGTACTTTGTTACTGTTGATTTAAATAAAAAAATGTATTATTAATATAAGAGTGTTTTGTCTAGAATCCAATATATACTTTTGCTTTATACATTTTTCAAAAGAGGTCAGTAATCAGCGTCTGTATTTAGTCAACATGGACTAGAACAATTCGAGTTTCAAATCCATGTTGACATGCGTTACGCATTTTCATTGGTTAATACTTTAAAACAATGAATTTAATAATAAAAAATTGTTTTGAGTTGCCCTGTAAGTGGATATATCCAATAGTTTTATCCCTTTTTAGTTACATAGTGTGTTGTGCTTGTTTATCAGTTTATTAGAAGCTTTTGTGAAATTGAGTTTTTTTATTTTATTTGCAAACCTTTTCGATTATTTTTTTACAGTAGTTCATTTTTAGTAAAAGCCTATTGGTGCAACAATTGTGGCAACGGATACAAATACTCGCGTGGACTACGCAGACATCAATTGGAATGCGGAATGGAGAAACGCCTGAAATGTTTGTTCTGCAGCCACAGGGCCCACAGACAGGACAATTTGAATTTGCACATGTTTTTGAAACATAATTATCCTACGCCGAAGTATCCGAAACGCCTATCAGACTGAATAAATTGTAGTTATAAGGGATTATCCGTGGCTTTAATGTGGCCAAGGTAATCAAATGTTCAAATTAAAAGTATCCAGTCGAAGTAATGGTAATTATAATTTTAATTTGTAATAAAAGTTATTTGTAATAACAAAATGTATTTTTCTGAAGTATTTGTAAAGTTTTCTTCTAGTATTAATAAGACTATTATCCCAACATTTACTGCCCTAACAGAACTGTTAAATTTAAAAAACTTGGCACTTTTTGTAGGGTTGCCAATGGGGTGCATTGTCCAGTGTTCTGCAACAACTTACTGCAGGACGCTTATTATTGTACTTAATTTTAGTGATTCAAATAATATCTCCAATTTCTTATATTTTTTAGTCACATTGGCATCGTGTCTTATTTTGTAATTTATATTTTGTTTAAGACCTTCCAGACTACATAAAATCATAAATATCAGTAATCTGTATACGAATATTTGTTAACATTTGTTAACATTTATGCACAGAATAATGCACACCAAGGCCCATTATAACTCTCCTGTAAGCTAATTTAGCAAGCAAAGCAGAACTGAAGGTTTGATCTTGTATCTACTGTTTAATATTTTTTGTGGTAACAATACTGCCGTTTATGAATTCTACACATTTTCATAATGTATAATTTTGATTTATTGTCTAATTATGTTAATTTTTAGGTAAACTGTTTCATTGCGAAAAATGTGGCAACTCCTACACGTACATTCGTTGTCTGAAACGCCATATGTTGGCTTGTGGGAAGGAAAAACGATTGACATGTTCCTTTTGCTCGCACAAAACTCATAGACAAGACCATCTCAACTTGCACATGTTCCACAAGCATAATATCGTTCCCCAAGCGGGTAAACCAATCAAAGAAGACAATTAATAAATGGATATAATGTTGTTTTCATCATTGTTCACGTTATTTGCCATTAATTTAGATTGTACATAGAGATACGGAAAGTTGAAGTTATGTTTTACAATGAATTAGACAGTGTAATACAAAGAACGCTCGTTGCAGAATACGTATGCCTCCCGTGGTGGGAGGCATACGTATGTAAGCTTCGTGGCTTGACGTAATTGGGAGTGGTTCCCACTTACGTCAAGCCACGAAGCTTACATAGTACTTAATAATCAATAAATTAAATAGTCACTTAATTTTTTTTAAATAGATAATGTATTAGTCGACTAATTTTTTAAAAAATCGATAACTAATGAATCGTTTATTTTTGTTTTATCGTTTATTTTCGATTAATCGATTATTTTGATTAATCGATTGATTAATGAACGCCTTAGTATTCTTGTGCTTAAACGTCCTCAAAAATTAAATGTTTGAAGGGAAATATTTGACGACAGTGTCATAAGTCCCTTTTTTATTGACGGTAACCTAAATGATGCTATACATTTAGATTTTCTTCAAGAACAGATTATTCCGGCAGTTTTCCAAGTTACAATTCACGGAGAGTGACAGAATTTCACAAAACTATAATCACTACAAGCTGTTCGAAAGTGGCCTCCAAGATTTATTACGTTATTCATTTTTTTGTGGTGTTTCTGAAAGAGACCATATGCTTTTGAAAAAGCAACAAATATCGATGGATTAAGGCATAAAATTATCCAACACTGTGCAAATCAACTCAGAAATATGAGATTATCTTTGTGAAATAGATTTGGCTATTGGTAGTGATTCCGCGAGACAAGAGATTCTCGTCTATCGTCTCGTCTCGAACGAGACGAGAGAGACATTTTCTCTCGAAAACAGATTAGAGACGAAACGAGAGAGTGTCATCTCTCGACGAGAATTTCTCATTTCTCTCGAGCTCTCTTGAGCTCTCTCGGGCTCTCTCGAACAATTTTCTCTTTGCTTATTTGAAATTTTCAATTGCTTATCGTAACTTAAAATTTTAACATGTTAGATTTCGAGATAGTCAAAAAGTTAACTATAAAATACCTATTCTATAAATGGTAACAAATGATACTTGTGTTATTAGGATTTTATAGTGATTTATAAGAAAAAATATTTCTCATTTAATTTATTTAAAATTTACACAATCATTTCTTATATTTAACCCACTCTGCTTTTCTAAGGTTACTTTTAAAGATATGTTGAACATTTTTAAGCGGTTTTTCGAAAAACTGTCAAAAAAAAGGTAATCCAAACGAATGTATTATATAAAGTGAGAACGAAAATTATACCCTCCACTATTTTACCTTCTAAATGAAAAAAGATAATGACAAAACAAAAACGAGGCAAAACTCAAGAGATAATATATTTTTGTTATAACGAGATGCACTTTACTTTACTTTAAGATAGAGGGAGTTACTAGCTTCAAATTTTCTAATGGAAAGTAGGGTCATGTGATACCTCATTTGAAAGATATTTTCTATATTTTTACGTTCATGTAAACATATTTAGGTTTTTATGTTTTTACAGAATTTACATTAAATAAATTCATAAATTAGGTTAAATTCTTTTTTTTACCGCTTCAACCTCAAAGGATCATTACCGGAGGTATAATAACTTATAAATGCTGTTTTTTACAATAGTATACAATTGATAATTAACATTTTGGCTAGTACAGAGTAAATGACAGTATCTTTTATAAATTTAAGTAATTTTTTACTGTTAGAGGGATTTAACACTGCACAAATGGCAATTTTTTGTAGCTGGTACTTTGTTTTTATACAGACATGTTCTGGGCCTTTACTAATAAGTTACACTCTTGATAACTCTCATATTAACAATTATTGTTTATTAGTAAGGAAACGCTTCATGTATTTACTAAAATAAATAAAAAGAATATCAAAAGTGATTTAAAAACCACTTGACGTATTAAATTTTTTATAACTTCTTGGCAAAAAAAGCTTACTAAAAAATTATCTTCTACCATTATCTAACATTTCTAAGATTATTGCGGCACACGAGGATTATCAAGAATGTACTTTTTGTAAAAACAAAAAAACATTAAAACTGTTTGCTTGGACGTAAATATAATCAAAATATCTTTCAAATGAGATATAACATGACTTTACTTTCTATTAGAAAATTTAAAGATATTCTCTATTTTACGTCTTAAGTAAAGTGCATCTCATTATAACAAAAATATCATAATCATAATTTCACATCGTTTTTGTTTTATATCTCTATCTTCTTGCATTTTGAAAACATACTACAAAATGCTTTCATTTGACATCGCAGTATTGCATTAGAAAAATTCAAACTTCCAATTTAACCTCTTCCCCCCCTCCCTAACTGACTTACAAGAGAAAGTATTTTCGTTTTTAGTTAACGCCTAATCAGGGCCACTTATTACTTTAAATTTCAATTGTAAAACGACTGTGACAGACGAACAGACAGAGAGACATAAGTGTTTCTTATTGCCAAATTTGGGCACCAAAATTTTATCGTTTTTTCATGTTTGGTCTGTTTCAAATTTAAATTTGATATTATTTTATCACTACAGAAAAGAGACGAGACGAGAGAAAGGCTCTCTTGAGCAAGAGAAGCGCTTTCTCGTCGAGACGAGAGAACAGTTTTCTCTCGCCCTACGTCTCGTCTTGTCTCGCGGCATCACTAGCTATTGGTTGGCATAGCAAAGATTTTTATTTTAACCTTTAATTTATTAGATTTATTTTTAGAGTGTATTTATTTATTTTTATTTGTATTTTTTAGAATTATTTTTATTTTATTTTTTTTTAGAATTTTATCTTGTTTTTTTATATGACTAACTATTTTTTTTAACACCGGTATAGTAAAATGGAAACCACAGTAGTTATTTTCATAAATAATTTTTTACATAATAAATAATCCTATTTTTGAAGGGCTAGAAGCTAGAAGTAGATTCCAACGATAACATTTTGATACTAAAATCAAAATTATTTTCCAAACGAGCGGATCATAGAATTCCTCATCTTTGCTAAAGTATGTAGTAAGACAGCCCTCGGTGATCAAGTCTTTGTTTATACATATGTCCCTATTATACCTTGTCTAAGTCATTGTAAAACAGAGGGCAAATGTTTAACTTTCCATATCATATGAAGATAGAAACATGTGGTTTCACTAAAATAATTCAGTTTGTATCAAAATGAATTCGGAAACATTGTCAATTCCGATCAACTTAAATATTTTTCTTTATTTTTTAAACTGGACTCTCTGTATATTTTTTGGTGCTTCTAACGCCCTTTGAAAAATAGGTAGACAAAAAATACAGGTTTATGAACAAAATAATTTATTAAACAGCTAGAAATAATTAATTTGACATCAAATATGAATATAGGTATCAACAATATGAAAAGGAACACATTTTTTTTTCACGTAAAAGTAGAAACAATCTTTAAAAGTTTAGAAAATATTTACAAAAATCAGGACTTCACATTTAACATCCCGTATCTCGGAAACAAAACTTTTTCGGACCTACGTTTATATAAACTTTTACTCCTATTTTAAGATGTACATTACGCTGTTAAAACATGACCGTCTAATTTCGGAATACCCTGTATTTTATTTCTAATTTTTGCACCATAGTTTTTAACGAAAACTGAATCTTTCTACCTTTGTTTCATTAAAAGTGAAATACTGTTAAAATAGTTGAAGAAAACATCTTAAAATAGTCTATGAACGACAAAGATAGATATACGAATCATGCTTGTGTGACGCCTCAAACTACTGTCATTTAAAAAAGAAGAATTGGCTCACTTTGGAATCGTTTTCGTGGATAACTCCATATAATTAGACACCCTGAGTGTAATGGAACTTATTCTTCTTGTTGGTAAATGATAGATTATGAGTTTTATATCATGGAAAGATATTTTCAAAAAAGAAATTGTGCTATATTTTATATTTGTTTTGTATTTATATAGTTTGAGTTGTCTATCATCACTATGTCTCAAGTAGGGATCAGTTACCTATGAAATTAAAGAAGTTTACACATCAGATCGTTTTTATTTTTGACATAATAAAACCACAAGAGGTTATATCGGTTCAATAAATAAATCATTTTTAACGTCTTGTGGGGTCAAATAGTTACTCTTCTGCTAAAAGTGTATGGAGAAGGAATGCCTCTTCTTCCTTGAGATGGCAGTATCCTCATATGATAAGCATAGACCTCTCAGTAATTTCTTAAAAGCAGCATTTCAATTTGTTGAATAGTTTTATACTTTTGCAGTTTCACGTGAGTGATTAAAACCCATTTGTTACTATGTAATTAATTTTTTAACCAATATTTGCATGTTTCCCAATCGAAATTTTAGTTCTATAACTTAGTTTTTTTAGAGTTCTTGCAATACGAATGTCCGAAATGCCAGAAACGTTACAAATACAAATGGAATCTGCTGCGCCACACCAAATACGAATGCGGGATGCCGCCTCAATTCACGTGCAAAATCTGCATGAAAGCGTTCACGCAGAAGAGCAGTTTGAAATCTCACGTGGCTTACATACATGGATTTTACTTAACCATTGAATGAATTAGGCATTCCAAACAAATGAATTGTCAGTGGGAAGGTTTGGTATATCTAAGGGTTGCGACATACGATGTATTCTATCTAGTAATCATAAAATCATGAATAATGGATTAAATTTAAATATTTTATGTCAAACAATAAAAATAATATTTAAAAAACCCGCTTATACATTTCTTCATAAATTGGTAGGCTTAGCTCGATTTTTTTGTGAGGAGCACATTTCTTCATAGCTATGCCACAGTTCGCTCAGTACGTCATAACTTTGTGGAGCTTTAGTTGATGGCGCTGGGCTGAAATCTGCTGCGGTAGGGGTACCTGCCTTGGCAGTGGCGTGTGTACATTAATAAAATATTTTAAATCGAACATATTAATAAGTTAATGTTAAATTTTAACTATTCGTTAGTTAAATTGCTGATGAACTTTAAATTAATAAAACAACCAAAAGTTTAAATAAATATTATATATTATTATTAAATATTATATAATTTGTATAATTTTAAACATTTTCATCATCTTCATCATCTTCCAAGTCGGAATTATCGGATTCCCACTCATCGGATGACCCCGTGTTTGCACTAAATATGAGGGAATCTATAAATTCATCTATAACGTGTCCTCTTTGAATATATACACCCCCATATTTCGCGGAATGGTCCACCACGTTTGCCCATTCCTCCGGCGTTATGCTTCGGAATTTTTCTCTTGCCAACTTTCAAACATTATCCAACTTGAATGTTGTGTTTTGTTGACCCACCCAATTTTTTACTGTGGCCCATATTTTTTCTATGGGATTTAATTCAGGGTGATATGGAGGTAATTGTAGAACTGTGTATCCATGTTCTTCGAGAAGAGCTATAAGAAATTTCGGTGAAGGTCTGTGAACTTTTATTAATGTGTACAGTTCTGGTTTGGTCATTTTAGAATCATGTGGTATATTGTTTTTAACGAGCCAGTTAATTAAATCTGCTTTTTTGGTCTGGGTTGTAATCGATTTTTCAGATTTTACATTATGATAACTTGCATTATCGATTACAAGTACAGACCTTGGAGGAAGATTTGCCTTCTAACCCATTGGGAAAAATTATTCCAGTTCATTTCATCATGATAATCTCCTGTCTTTTTCCCTGAAAAAAAGTAAAAAAGAATTTATTATCTATAACGCAAGAATATTTTTCATAATTATTTTTGTATGATACTTAAACTTACAAAAAAACTCTTTTAAATAAAATAATTGCTTAGTTAAGCAAAAATTATTAGGAATTTTAAATCACTTAAAAAATAATCTGTCTTTAGAAGAAATATTTCTTCAAGATGATAAAACTTTCCCTTGTATAACAATAAAGGATTAAGTACAGGTATAGGTCTTTTAACCAAACTGAAGATAATAAAATAAACCACTACATTAAGTACTTCAATTACTTGTTAATTAGATACTTTAACAGTTTAAATTAAATATAAGCTGATCATAAATTTCGATTGTTAAGCATCATGGATTTTTATGAAGTAGGTAAAGACGCAAATAATAAATAATTTTCTATAAAAAATAGATTATTATCTGAAGTAAATATCAACAGTCCATTTTCTACAAAACCATCCTTATTTCCTGCATGCAACATTATGAGCCTTTTCCCCTTGCTCATTGGAGTTTTAAATTTGCCTTTGCCATCGGTTCATCCTTTCGAATGTGTATGACTACTATGTAAATAGGTCTCATCACAATAATAAATAGTTCTGCCCTCTTGCCGATAATGTATTAAGGATTTTAAATAATTTGTCCTCTTATTCCTAATGTCGTAGGATTCCAACAAAACAGATCTGTTGTCTTAATTTTTTTTCCACCTGAAAAAATAAACATTGTAATTTTATACGTACAAAAATTGACTATGAGAAGTTAATTATTTTGTTATCATTTTATTTTAATTATTTTAGATAACGTTATTTATACTTACTTAAAACCTATGTTTAATAATATTTTCTTAAGTGATGAGATGCTGCTCCGGAATTCAAAACAACAATCCTTCATTTTTTGTAATATACCTACAATAATATTTATATTAAATACGTTGCCATTATAATCAAAATAGTAACTTACAATTTAGAGTTGGTAGTCTTTTCTCAATAATATGAAAATCATGGATTACACCTCTGAGTTTTTCTAACTCTTCAGGCCTTATAGATTCTTCAACTGTACTTCTTTCTGTATATCCTCTTTGTGAAAATGAAGTACTAACTCCACTGTCTACTTCACCAGCCATCTTCTTAATTCTAGAATAACTGCTTCTAGAAATCCCTGTAGCAACTTAAATTTCTCTGTCTGTATTTGTGTAATGGTATTTGAACACCGTGTTCAGCCTCGTTTTTCAGAAAATTTATGAGGCGTGAAATTATTTCTTTCGTTTGACTGTGAAGAATTTGGCCCTTTTTGCCTAATAATTTTTTCTGTTCCATTTTGAACAAGCTAAAAATATAGATATTTGTAGGAAATTTGTTTTAAATAATATTAAACTTATTTTTCTATTCATCAAGAGCAAACCGAACCTCTAGCCAAGGAAAATTTTTGAAATAGTAATACAAATTAAAGTTACTTAAGAGCTAGAGCTTCGGTAATAAGATAAAATTCGTAGATTTTATATATTTTATTTACCAAGTTCTTAATATTTAAGGTATTTACGTGATATTTTTTTTGTTGCTATATAGTAACTTAAACTACAGTTCTGTAGTATGAAATCAACAAAAAAGTATTACCACAACGCAGAAAAAAAAATAAAAATTTTTCAGAGTATGATCAATGTTTGAAGGATTCTGCTTTTATTTTTTATTCGATTAGAATTTTCTTTTAAGAATTTTCTAGAGAAATCTTTTCTTTACAATTTGTATTGAAAAATATTTTTTTTTATTTTATCTGAATGTTTAATTTTAGTTTCAGTTTTTTTATCAAGAAATAATAATAATATATTCACCGAATCCTTAAAACAGTGATCATACCGAGACTTTTTTTTTAATTTTTTTTTTCTGCGTTGTGGTAATACTTTTTTGTTGATTTCATACTACAGAACTGTAGTTTAAGTTACTATATAGCAACAAAAAAAATATCACGTACAATACCTTAAATATTAAGAGCTTGGTGATAAAATATATAAAACCTACGAATTTTATCTCATTACCGCAGCAATGCTCTTAAGATAAGAAAAATATGGTTTACAAAAATCGGGTTTTAAAAGGTATTTAAAATATTTCAGGATGTTCGGTTTCTTCGGAGATTAATATTTATAGTTTTGTAAATGTACTTACCAAAATATACACAAAATTAATTAGTAATTCAAAAAATATAACAAATTAAAGTTTGTATACACACAAATCGAAGCATAAAAACTCAAGAAACTCAAAATAGCTAAATAAATGCAACAAGTACAAATAAGTAACACTACGCTACTGAATTCAACTTGTATGAGTGGTGATGAGCGGCAGGCGGCTTCGATCACGTTTAAATCTGTCTGATCACGTCTACAAACTCAAATTGGTTTCTGCAAATTATAACGAAGTGTGCTCTTCACAAAAAAATCGAGCTCTACCCCCTTAGATATACAAGAATTTCGCATTGGCACCTATTGTTTGACATGTCGTTGGAATGCCTAATTGAAGAAAAATTAAATATTTTAGATTTAGATCGTGTGTATACCTAACAAAAGCATTGTTCGATAAATTTGTCGTTTCACAGCAGTGGTGCCATCTTAATTTATTTAGTGTTTATCGAAGAACCCTTAAGAGCATTCTATCGACATACAGACATTAAATTCGTAACTACTTTTTTACCAATTTATAAAAAAGTATTTGCTATTTTCATTCAAATACGCCCAACTGACACATTTGGTGAGTGGCAAAAATAAAATGCCATATAAGGTAATTATAACAGTTAATGACTAAGCGTTTTATTTGATTGCAGTCATAGATAAGAAATTATTGATTTAAATAAAAAAGTTTTTTATTATTTAGTTTTAAGACCAATTTATAAAACTGTTATATAAGTGTGCTAACCATTATCTTATAAATGTTCTTACAGCCACTTCTAAACAACAATTAATACTATAGAGCAAATCGCTCTTGTCAGCTCCTTATCACAGGAGTTATTAGATAATATTGCAACACTTTTAAAATAAACTTCTATGGAAACTCTACACTCTTATTAAGGTTTACAATGATTGTTATTTCAAGCCATTATAAATCATTAAGAGGAATAAATACATATTATAATGGTTTTCTTTCAAATCTTCATAATGTTCTTAGGACTTTTTATACACTCTTGTGAAAACGTCTTATTAAGGTTCGCTATGATTGTTATTCTATAAAAAAATTATACTAATTCGATATAATATTTTATGAAAGAAAATTAGCAGGAGAGCGTATTTGGATTAATGCATAATAATGATACTGTATGTGTTGCCCTCGCTTTAGACCTACGGATATATTTACAATTGTGTCATCAAAGCCTTTTAAGTCTCATTGGCAGCGAAAGCTGGTGTCAGAATTTACTTTGCATCAATAGAATGCTCTTAACAAAAGTATTAATTATTGAATACTTTTTATTTTTTACTTTAGTAATTTCTCGCAGCAAATTATTATACTTACATGAACAATAAATTAATTTATTCATGCATTTGGCCATTTTAAATCCCTCTTATACGTCAAAAAGACATGCATTTAATAGGTCAAAAGACTTCCGTCACCAATCTGTCAGGTATTCTTTCACTATCTTGAACCAAACGGCAAAAGCATAATATCTTCTGAAATAGGGTCATTTGCACCACTAGTCGTTAAGAAATATACGAATCTTAATATGAAACTTCCTAATTATATGTCATTCTAAGTGTCGCAAATAACCCTGAGTGCATGGTGTACCGCAGGGTAGTGTGATGTATCCTCTGTTCCACACATTGTACAAGCCCTAACAACTATATGTTGTGACGAGTGTAGTTTTACATCTGTTAATACTATTAAAGAGATTAATTTATTAGAACATTCTTATAATTTAGAATTTAAGGACTATTTAAAAATGTAATTAATGCGTAAAGTATACAAAAATGTCAATTATAATCTTGCAATAGGTGTAAAATCGGCAAGTTTATGGTCAGAGACAGACGGGCTTCGAATCCTAGACCAGAAGCTGGTTTACTTCTTCGTCGTCATGGTTACCCTCAAATAGAGCTAGCCGGTTTACCGTTCAGGATCTTACTTATACAGTAAATGATTTATTTTTTTAATGATGTATGAACCTTCCCAAGACCTTTGAAGCTTCGGAGCATAACTCTTTTGTCCTCTTGGATTATGGATCCAGACTTTGTCGCCTTCCTTGAAACATCCTTCTGTTGCATGGGTATCGTATCGCTTCTTCATTCTGTCACTGGCGATTTGAAGATGCAAGCATTACTGGCATCAGTATCCAGAATAAATTCTGCTTCTGGTAGTGGGTTGCCTAGTATTGGGGGCAATTGGAGGAGTACTTTTACAGATTCAAGGAGGAAACAAAGATTACTGGGTTATTTTAGTAAAGTGATCTCGAAACCTGAGCGAAATTACTGAGTCACGAGAAGAGAACTCCTAACAGTTGTGGAACACTTCTACCAGGTACCACCGTATCTTCCTGTACAGCATCTGGCACAGTACTGTCCCCATATGGATATAGGAATACCTCTTCGGCACCAACTTTAATCACTCTGTTTTTAAAATCCAACTGGAAACCATGTAAGTTCATTACATCCATTCCAAGTATAACATCTTTGATATCAGCGACAATAACTGTGTAAGTGAACTTTTCTGTATCAATTTCTAATTGAACCTGGATTTCCCCATGGATGTTGATACTTTTACCTGTGGCAGTCCGCAGTCGCAATCGTATTGATAGAAGTCTTTTGCGGTTATTTATGGTTGTTGGTCGCATAATGGTCCTAGTGGCTCCAGTATCCATAGTTTATACTTTTTACCATTTACTTCGCCGTCTACGTATACACTAGCATTGCGACATTTCAAAGAGTCTATCAGTATAAGAGGGTCTTTGGAACGGTTTCGGGTCGAAGCTGCCCCCTCTAGGCCAACCCGCTCTAGTTTTCCTGTGGCGTGTTGTCTTCATTTGTTGGGATCCTAGGGGGTTTACACGAACTGCGTACATGTCCCAGTTCACCTGATGCTCTTTTTTTTCATCTTTTTATCAGTAAGGCTCTTCATCATGTTAACCAATTGGTCGAGTTTATCTTCCTCTTCTTCCTCTTTTATAGTCCTCACTCTACTGTATCCACCGTAGCTGCCTCATATTCTAAAGCAGCGGACAAGACATCGACCAATGTTTTGTGGCGGGCTAAGCGGAGTGTTTTCTACATTTCGTGGTCACGGAGTTCATCATCAAGTGTTTGGACTGCCAAACATGTTTTCTGGAGCTGATGGGTAGGCAAATGGCATCAACTTGGCAATATCTCCTTCATATTCTTGAAGGATCTTGTCTCGTTTCTGTTTGCGATTCTTTAGCTGTGTTCGTGGCCATTTTGCATGTTTAGTCTCTTTTTGAGTTGTTTAAAATCATCTGTCTCTTCCAAAGGTAGAGTCTAAAGGACATCTAAAGCATCTCCTCGAAGGGCGATGGTCAAATTTACTGCCTTCTCTCTTTCAGATTATTCGTTCACTCTCGCAGCCGTTTTGAACTGTTGAAGGTAGTTAGTCCATACCATCTTCTCGTCGAAAGTTGTGGCTTTAACATTTCTGTCTATTTATATAGAAATATAACATTCTCGAAAGAAACAACTCTGACTAGAAGCTCAGTCAAAATTATTCTCCTCGTGTCAGACTGCTATGGAAAACATTCTATTCGGCTTCTCGAGTCTCTAGATGGGTCTCGATGTGGCCAGCGCTAGACTTCCTATCGCGGGTACGGTAATAAACAAAGAACAGGGTTGGCTTCGCGTCACACTTCTGACCTATGTTTAGGAAATATGTCTTTTTGTGCCAGTGTATGATTTTACAAATTTAATTCAGGAGATTCGGCGTTCTGTTTTATATTTATTATAACTAAATCAAATGTCTATAAAATCATGGAATTATGCCTTCTTATGGGAAATATCTATTTTGATAATACTTTCTTTATACGAATTAAGCCGTTTTGTGTTGTAATTTAGCCGTTAAAGGACGTCTTTTAACCATACCTTTAGAATTCCATCGAAAATTGGCATCAGAATTAAAACGGAAAAATTTTCCTATAAAAAATCACATCTCTTTTGTCCTTTTTCTTCTTATTTTTCTTCTTATTTCGAATCCACAACAACATAATAAACTAGTCACTAAACACAATGTTCTCCACTCGTGTCATCCTACAAGCAAATTAAGTCTCTTAGGAGAAATAATTTAAATTTTTTTAAAATATAGGTAAATACATACAAATACAGATCTAAAGGGTTCCCATCTGTTCGGAGGGCGCTTCGTCCCCTTTTGCTTTAAAAAACAACTTTAAACATGCCATGGCGTCAGTTTACTTAATATTGCTCAAAAATCGTAGCTCTTTCGAGAAAAACCTAAAGGTCCTCAAATATTTTGCATATAATTCTGTCATTGTGTTCTATAGCTCTTTTGCCTATCTCTAGCCCAAATCTACCAAATGGCGCCTAAAGTTAAAAACTGGCAAAAATGAGTGCTAAATTCAACGGAAAATATCTTGAAATAATTTGAAATACATAAAAATAAAATTGTTAATTTAAAAAAACGTAATTTTTAATAGCTTTAGAAGATTTGATTTACTGCTACCTATATGTCTTTCATAAATTAAGCTCCTTTCCACACCACTATTGAGGTAGCTCGATTTTCTTAATTGGTTTTCTCTGTAGGTCTAATCAACTAAAAACTGACTATTTTTAATCAATAATTGGAATATCTTCATTATCTTCAGTAAATCCTTCCTCTATCATTAAATTAAGACATTCTTGATCATAACAATCCGAGCACAATAATCCAATATTGGCACACATGTACCTCTATTCACAACCCTTTTTACAAGAATTTAGCTGAAGAATGGAAGACGAAGCTGGTGGCTCAGTTGTAGGGATTGGCAACAGAATATTGCTGATTGTTTTCCAACTACATTGAATGAGTTTTAAAACTTCTCCAGCCACAAGTGAATTTGCCGAACCACTCGGTATGAATAAAGAGACAGATGTAGATGGTAAACTATGTAATACGACGACTTTTCTACTTTGCCAAACCAGCTTTTTAAACGAGATGAACCTAAATTGATTTGTAGATCTGGGTGCCTTGTGTAAAGTAAGTATAAGTTTTTCTCCAGCTCGTGCAATCTCATATTTTGTCGATGACTTATTATTAAATATAGACACCATTTAATTCGTTTCTTTTGTTCAGTAAGTTTACAGTCTGTGCTTTGTCTTTGCCGAAAAAAAGGTGATGTGGTATTGCATCAACTGAAGGCGTGAGCAAATATTACAGTACTTTTGCAGTTATGTAGGACTCCAAAATACTGTAAATCAGAAGAACTGTATGTCCTTTCCCTGATGTTCCCCTGAACATCTCTTAAGAATCAAAAGTTCTTATCTGGAGGAGAAATGGCAGTTATAAGAATGAGTAGATCGACTTTTGCTATTTATGATTGTTATAGGCTTTCTTAATGACTATTTGAATAATAAATAAGCCTATCAACATCGTCTGTAGGAGAAAATTTATTACATAGAGTTATCAAACGTTTTTCGCTAAAATGATTATGAAATTAAGATATTTACTTTGGAAAGTATAGCTTGCTCAATGTTGTTTTCACTTTATTAATAGTTCTCAAGTTCAAACGTCATTTGGTAGATTTGGGCGGTAGATTAGCAAAAAGGTTATAGAATATACAAGATGTAGAATTTTATTAAGAACATTTTATATCTCGAAGGTTTTTGAGAAAAATAAAGAAAACTGGCGCCAAGTCATGAAGCAAACAGGAATGAAGCTCCCTCCGAATTCTTTAGATCTGTATTTGATTTCTGATAACCGTTAGCTGTTAATAGATGTTAAAAGACATGTTCTTAAATTTAAAATTCCCAATTATCTCAAAATATTTTAAAAATCTACGTGAATTTTGTAAAAAAATCATAATCGTTCCAACATATAGTTGTGTGGGCTTGTATGTCAATATTTACTGACGATATTCTAACTTACTTCTCGAAATCAAACCACGAAGTATCGTGGGTGAAAGCAATAATTGTTCATCAAAAATTATCGTTTTAAGGAAAAGCTAAATAATTGATCTTAGCAAATATATATGTTGTTACTTTTTTTACTGTATTTACCGTTACAAAAAGTGGGGTAATAAAATGGATTGTAAAAAAATCTGTAGACAAAAAAATATATTTGTTGATGAAAAGTTTATAACAACTTTAAATTTAATGTTCTTTTTATTTTTATAAGACTTAAATATTTAAACATGACACGATTTTTTTTCATTTTTAGGAATTCAGAAATACATTGTAAGATATTTGATGAAATTAATACTGATCAATTAAATATAATTTCAAAAAATTTGCTGTTTTTTTTATTATAATTTAAGGTTTAAATATGAATTGAATTAATTGAGATATCAATCAATTTAAACGTTATTTTACAATTGCCGCTTACGTCCTCTGTAGTATTACTATGTAAATAAAACAGTGTCTTTAACTGAAGGTGTAATTAACATATAACGACAAAACTTTAAGCAGAGGATAGGAGGAAGCACCGTGGATTCGTGGTTCTTCTCGGTCGTCCTCTCTCTTCGTCAATCACGTCGGTGTCCTGCTTGTCAGGTCAGCTCTTGTCAAACGGTTGTGGGTACTGGCACTTCGTCCGAGATAATACCACATCCTCAATCAAAGCAAAGGTAATTTGTTGATGCGGGTTTCTAAAGACGTTAGTGAGGAACTATCGACATCTGTATCTGTAACGTGTGGAGGGTGGGTTACCCCCACGGCACTTAGGCTTCACTAGGCCCATTGTGCATCCTCCTAAGATAATAGGCACCTCCTAGGTCATGAGTCAGCCTACAGATTGAATGTACTCGCCTAACACAAATATTCTAATAAATGAGAGCCTCGAGCAATCGTACAGGTTACGCTTGATGATATCATCTTCTTGTTCGCACCCCCTGCAGAGTGCGGATTCTGACTGCTTCTGTACTTGCCAATGACCAATCAGAATGCCTGTGACTAGGAGCAGATTCTGTCTAGTCATAGTTGTCGAGATTATTTTGTAAATTCGGGAATTGTTTCTGAATCATTTGTAGAAATAGCTTTTAAAAAATGTACATAATCAGTCGGCAGTCCAGTTTCCTCTGCTCTTTTTATAATAGTGTTTAAATATGATTTTGAAAGTTTTCGTACATCAGGTAATTTGGTCAAATTGGTATATTTCAATCTTTGTATTTGTTGGTACGTTCTGCATTTCAGTTTTGTTCCACAGAAAAAGGATAGTAAAAATTTTCGTGAACGTCTTCTTGTTCATCCAAATTGGACAAATCGTCCAGTTTTATCTTCCAAAATTCTCCCCAAACATTATGGCCAATTTTATCAGACTATAATCCTTTAGTATTGCTTTACCATATCTAACAGCATTTGGGTTTAGTATATGTATTCTCTTGGCCAGTAAATTGCTACCGTAAGCAAAGTGACACATATATTTAGTAGATGACATTCTGTTTTCCAGTTATTAAAAGTTGAATTTAGCGTCTGCTCTAGCTTTCTGGCTACTTGAAATTCCCGGTTCGATTAGGACCAATTTTATGACGAGAAATTGCTGAGAAATAACTTCAAATGCTGTGCAATATATATTTCCGACGTTATTTTTATGACAACTTACAAAATTCCCAAAATTCACATTGACATTATTTTTTAATAGGTGGGTAATTTGTGTCTTTTTTACAAAATAAGAAAATATAAACTCAACAATAGTCTCAAGTGTTTGTTTACTGCATTGTTGTCAGGATAACTTAAAAGCTCCCTGGCAACGCTGCAATTTTTAGTTTCATCCCATCTTTCCTTGAATTTCACAAGGGAAAGTTCTTTAATTAGGTATGTCACTACCAATTTTGTCAGACCAATAGAAGGACCAGGTTCAAAAATTATTTGGTTGGTTGCTTTCTTGGCCAGTGAATCAGCAAGACGGTTACCTTTCGATGTGGCGTGACTTTTGATATATCTTATCCATGTAAGTCCATGCGACGACTCTGGAGGAAAAACCTAGGTGCACCCCACGGTTCTGCGGCATTGTTCATAAGCAATGTGTGCTCTTTTGACTCTGTTTTCTAAATTCGAGTTCCATGTTAACTTGCTGTCAAAAGTGAGACCTAGGTACTTCACATCTGTTGCAAAGTTTAGTTTTGTGTTTAGGAGTTTTGGAGGTTTTAATTTCAGTCTAATCCTGTTCCTTGTGAAAAGGACCATTTCTGTTTTTTAGGATTGAAAGACAGTGAATTATCATTACATCACTGTTCTATAATTTTGAGAGCTACTTGCATTCTTTCGCAGAATATTTTCTCAAAATTCCCTGTATGCAAAATGACCAGATCATCTGCATATTCTATTGTGTAGTGACTGTCATTATTGAGACGGCTGATGAGGGTATCGAGGACCATGTTCCACAGTAGAGGTGATATTACCCCTCCCTGTGGACATCCCTTCGCAACCAAGCCTCTATTTTATTTACATCTACTGGCTTTAAGAGCATGTTATGTATCCACCCACTAACCATCTGAGGACCATTCCTGTTGGTTAGTAAGTGTATTATCTTGGGGAAGGTGGTTTTATCAAAAGCACCGTCTGTGTATATGATAACACCCAAGGCGGACTCCTTATTGTCCGACCACCAACTAGATGAAGGGCTGAATCAGTAAATTGAGTGGACATAAAATTGTCACTATGGCTTTGTTTGAACTTCCAGGGTCCTCTTATGGATCCTCCCTTCTTCTGTAATGGAGCAGTTTTGTTTGGTATACTTTATACAAAAGCCCTCGACACATCCATAATTTTAGACCAAAGTGCATCTATTCGTTGCTTTGTGGCGCCATTGCGATGCACTATGACATTGTTTGTATAGTTAGAATACGGTGTTAATAGCTTATATTGCTACAACTTGAATATTTTTGTTTGAAATAAGGAGTTCTAGTTAATTTTACCTGTATTTTATTAGTTTACTAGTTAAATAATAAAGTAAATGTAAATTTTTCTTCCTCATATAATATGAATTGGATTGTTTTGATATATTACCTAGTTTATCTTTTGTTAATATTTAAAATAGAATTTCTTTCCGAAAAAAAAAATATAGATAATATAAATTCAAAACGCATTGCAATTACGTCAATATGCGCAACAAGGACCTATTCTTTTTCGCAACCTCTATGAACCCATAATTATTGTACTAAAACTAAAATCTATCAACTGTAGCTTCTTTTGTTTCTATTATTTTTTATTATTAATTTTTTTTTGTAGATTAGATTCTTATTTTTGTGTTTTTTAGCCTTCTACTTTGACGAGATCGACAACGTTTTCATCTGCATTCAGTGCAACAAGGCCTATAAATATCAAAGAAACGTCCAGGCTCACCAAAAGTACGAATGCAACAAACCAAAAAGATTCAAATGCGGCTTCTGCCATAAGAGTTTCTCTCAGCAGAGGTATTTGAGGTATCACCAAGTGACCTGCACTCCTTGGAAGGCTAAGGCCAAGGTTCAGGGAGATGTTCTATAACTTTTAGGATGGAGTTTTTTTATTAGTTTTAGGATTATGACCCTCAATGGGTATTTACAGTTTTTTTTCTCTTTTATTTTATTAATTTTAGATCTAATGTATTGTTTAAGTTTATTTACCAATTTAACCCGCACTTTATGTTTAGGAAAAAGATATTTAAGATATTTAAAATATTAAACGATTACACTAAGTTATGTTTATGTACGAAGAGTTTTATTTAATCCCAGTTTATATCAATGTATCTCAAACATGATTATATATATATTCATTATTTATGGAATAATTAAAAATACACTTAAATTTGAAATTGTTAAAAATGCATTTATTTCACCACGGGTTTTGAAGTTGAATAACTGTTTTCTTCATCTATTATCAACGATGCGTTGATATCGCCTTTAAGCCAATATTGTACAGGGAATTTTACAAAGTGTTCACCCATGTAAAATTTTTTAGGCAGTTGGTTACAGCTTTCCTTTGAATTACTCAGTTTCGTTTCAGTGCCGTGCGTGATAAATAAAAATAAGGTTTTTCAAAAATCGTTCTTTAAGTGTAAGTCATTTATACAAGATGATTTAAAAGTACTCCAGCTTAAATTCAAAGATTTCTTATAATTTGCCTTATTAGGTTATTTGGGATAAAAAAATTAACCCGTTAAGCCTTAACCCCGCCATATATCAATATTATACAGCATGTTATAACACAATAATAACAAGAATACGTATATACACACAATAACTGCACCATTCGTTTTTTAAATTGAAGTTGGCTTTGGATGGTTGATGTTTTTTACTTGACGTATATTAGTGACAGTATAGTTATTTTAGTTTTATGTTAAGTACCCACATACTTATTGCTTAGTTAGGTTTTCACATGCCTACGGTTTTAAAATTATGAATAATAACCGCTTTATTATCATCATAAAACTGTGTCTACGCTAGAGGACTTTTTGAACAGGGTTGTTCACAGAGTGATATTGGACGAATTATGGGTAAAACTCAAGGGGTTATTTCCGAAATTGTAAGAAGATACCTATCGTGAAACCTCGATGCAACCAAAGAAAAGCAGGTCAGGGCCGGCCTAGGAAAACTGCTCCTAACCAGGTTCGTTTTCTACCTTTACAAGCACAACAAAGTTACAGGCGTGGTTGTCAAATGTGCATTATGTTAGAGTGTGCAAACAAACAAGCGATTAAAATAAGCTTAGCTACAACCCTACGAGAAAGCAATTGGGTCAAAGTTGGAAAGATACCACAGGATTCAAAGACTCCTATTTGCTCGGAAGCATTTGCCGTGGAATAAAAGAGAAGGATTTAACGTTTTATTTAGCAGCAAATTCCGGGGAGGTATTTCTCTAGGGGCAAAAGAGGACTTAGCTTTTGTAGAACGTTTAACGGCTGGTCGATACATTGCGGAAATTCTGCCATTTGCTCCAGTTATTGGGGAAGACTTCTAGTCCAGGGAAATTTTTAGGGACAGCAGATATCGAGGTGCGGTTTTCTGCATTGTGTTCAGGAAGGTCCCAGAAAAAAGTTTATATCGTCTGGTGTAGCCATTTTTTGAAAAAGCCTTCTGGGCCGGAAAATGCATTTTCCAATAGTATCATTATTTTCATCATTATGGGAATGACTGGAAACTCGGAAAAATCGCTCAGAAATCGTTACTCGGAGGTTTTCGGAAATGCCGAATTCAATTGTGGCATTGGAATTACCCGGGGGCGGCTCTGCGAGGGTATTCGGGGGGTCATTCTGAGGGGAAATTGTATAGTCCTTGGGAAACGCTCTAAACTCGTTACTCGGGGGGTTTTCAGGGATGCCGAATTCAATTCTAGCATTAGATTCCCCCTAAGGCACTTGGGGGTCCCTCTGTGGGGTTGTCTGGAAGTAATTGGGGGGAAATGGCAGCCTCAAAACTGGTTTTGAAAAAGGTGCCCAAGCTATAAAGAGAGTAGAGCATCGTTACCACGGGAATGTATGCATAAAAATTCCGCCACCGTACGCATAGCTCTAGATTCCTGGACGGTCATGACGTTGCCCGCAAGTGTAACTTAGGACAAGTTTCTAGGAAATAGGAAAAATAAGTCCCAGCTCATTATTTTTCTCCAGGAGGAATTAAAACGGGCTAATATAATGTCTCAGCAGAGTGTAGCTGATGCGAATGTTGATATTGTGCTCAAGGCCATTAAAACTGCTTCTGGAAGCCGCAACAATAAAGTGATTATTGTTTCGGAAGACACTGACATCTTAACAATGCTTGCTGCTCAAACTCCACCGAATCTAGAAGTGTTCTTGCTGAAGCCGCCATCTGCTAGAGTACCTGTTGTGTATTCTTCCGAGAGCGTAGCATTCAGAAGCGCGTGCATCAGGTTTCATATATTATTTCTACATGCTTTCACGGGATGCGACACAATCTCAGCATTTTTCTATCGAGGGAAAGTAGAATTCTGCGATTTGGTTGAGAAATCCGATTATTTACATAGGTTTGCAGAAATATTTAGGCAAACATATGTATCCCATGGATGATTGAATAGATCATGGGCTTCGTCTTGCTTTGGCTTTTTACGGGGCACCTAAAGATGTGCGCACGAGCGATAAACCTGCGATTGAACTCGTCCAAAGCTATCGAGCAAAAATGTATGCTGAAGCCACCAATTATAAAAAAGTCGATCTTGTACGCATAATCCCGACTGCCAATGCGTTAACCAAGCATATCAAGCGTGTCTATTTACAAGTACAGGCTTGGTATGGTTCACAAGGTCAAGAAGAGACCTTAAATCCATTGGAATGGGGGTGGTAATTGGTGGATGGAGAACTCAGTCCTATCACCATGATCCAGTAAGCCGGTCCCGAGGAAATGTTTAGCAAAATTTTTTGTTCTTGTGAAACCGGCTGAGCCAGAATTGAATTCTACATCCTCGAAAACCCCCCCGATTAACGATTTTGGAGTGATTTTTATGGACGCTGCCATTTACCTTCCAGTCACTTCTCGCGCACCCTCACAGAGCCACCTCCGTGCACCCCCGGATAATTATAATGCCAGAATCGAGTTCGGCAGCCCCGATAACCCCAAGTAACGATTTCCGAGCGATTTTTCCGCGTTTCCAGTCGTTCCTATAATGGTGCAAGTAATGATGCAAGTAATGATGCAAGTAATGATGCAAGTAATGATGCAAGTAATGATGCAAGTAATGATGCAAGTAATGATGCAAGTAATGATGCAATTGGAAAATGCATTTTCTAGCCCAGAAGGCATTTTTTAAAAAATGGCTAAATCAGACGATATAGACTTTTTTCCTGGGACCTTTCTGAACACAATGCAGAAAACCACATCTCGATATCTGCTGTCCCTAAAAATTTCCACTATTCCGGTCGATTTTGATCTAAATGCCCTGGACTATTCCTGTTTATGTACGATAATGCACGACCGCATACGGCAAGAGTGGTAAGGGAGTATTTAGACCAAACTGAGATTGCTGTAATGGATTGACCAGTCCGAAGCCCAGATATTAACCCCATTGAGCATTTGTGGGATAAAATAGGTGTTGAGTTACGTGAGCTATCTAAATTGACGCACGTACAATGGGCTCTACAGCGTATATGACTCTATATTTATACGGAATTAAATACTTAGCATGCCGAATCGCTGCCAGGCTATTATTGATGCTCGTGGTGGAAACACCAGTTATTAATTTTTTTGTTCATAAATTTAGTTTTTTTATTTTAGTCTTTGTTCTTTATCCCTAATAACCCAATAAAGCAAATTATAAAAAATCTTTGAATTTAAGCTCGAATACCATTGAATTACCTTGTATAAATGACTTACATCAACTACAGCTTTACCATCCTTGATAATTTAAAGTCCTTATGACAAAAAAATGAGAGAGTTTTGCCTAAAGAACGATTTTTTAAGACCCTTATTTTGTATTTATCACGCACGGCACTGAGATGAAACAGATATAGGAGGTAATCAAAGGTAAGCTGTAACTAAAGGCCCAAAAAATTTTTAAATTTTTTTATTTCTAAAATTTCAAATTAAAATTTTGTCATTTTTGTCAATTTTACATGGGTGCACACTTTGTAAAATTCCCCCTGTACAATATTGGCATATAGCGAAATCAAGGCTTGGTTGTTAATAGACGAAGAAAAGAGCTATCCAACTCTAAAACCCGAGGTGAAATATATGCATTTTTAACAAATATATGACAGTTTGAAATTTAGGTTCACTTTTAATTATTTCATAATAATATCTAAGATCAATATTATTATCAAAAACGGACCAAAACGATTTGATGAGTTAAACTACCGTGAAATTATTTTTTAGTTACATCATGTACTGAAGTATATGCTATTATTATGCAATATTGATCTACATAGAAATTTAAAACATATTTGTTTTGGAGTATGATAGAAATCTTTTTCACTGTATAATTTTGAAAATTTGAGATATCGCAATATTTGTAGTCTCTTCTATTAGAGAAAAGTACAACTGCGTCACCTATATAAGTCATAAATTTTCAAATTAACGAGAAAGAGGTTTTGAAAAGGTTTATTTTCAAAATGGTAGAATAATTGCAGGTATAGCAGGTATAGATACCTTTTGTTCAACTGGGTAGATTTATTCGCCGTATTGAAGCCTTATTTCGAGAAACTTGTGTCACAAAAAGAGAAGTGGTCGGGTACGTGCCATTCATGATACTTCATACCAGGCAAGTGATTAAAGAGAACGTCCTCTATGCGGCACTTGCACTTTTAACAAGATCTAGATCCGTGAATATAAATGTAAATACCTATTTTAAAAATATTTTTAAGAGAAATAATTTCGCTTTTCAATAATCTAGTCAAAAATTTGTACTCATTCAATACAAACTTTCATAATAATTATGTTTTAGTGCTAAATATTTTTGCGTTTACGCACCTTTTGATTCTAATTTT